TGTTGCAATCAATCGATTAGAAATCGATTAGAAATAATCGAAACAGGTAGATAAAATGCTTGTTATATGTACTACATATCTCCAGATCTACGGCCGCACATGTACGACATTGAGAAGCATACGTTTACATTATTTATTAGTCAGATAAAGAGAATTAATCGCAAAGTTCGCAGAACCGGTCGTAGATTGGATGATATTCCAAACAGTTGATTGATTGCAGGCGGTTCTTATTATGTACAGTTTTTATTTTCACTTCACACACACACACACACATATTTTGTTAATAATTTCGTCGCGTGTACTATATTTTATTACATATATTATATTATATATCTATATTATTATTATTACGTATATTATTATTACATATATTATTATTACTTATTATCATTATTCTTTTTCTAATTACCTGTTAAAAAATTGCCTTATATTACAAATCCAGAAAGTTTTTCTCTCGACTCCGTTTTTGCCATTTAACTCGGATATTTCTTTACTGTTTACGACGGGAAAATTAAAATAATATTGAGAGATAATGTAACATTATGTTGTAATATGCGAAGTATAGAAAATTGCACATGTGTTTAAATAATTGCCAGTTTAAACGCAGTTACGTGTATATGGTAAATTGATTACAATGACCACAATCATGCGACCGGTTTATTTTTTACTTCTTAATCTACATACTTACATTAACATAAAGAGTCGGATTTTTATTCACGTCACGTCCATAATTCGTTCTTTACATGACAACGTTATGGACGTAATTTTTCTGTTTTTCTATTTTTCCGCGTAGAGAGTTGAATAACGCGTTTTGTTGTTGAGAATAAAATCTGTTTTAACGTTGATAGTTCATTCGATCGTGTAACATTGAAGTGATCAAACTTTTAACTTCAAAACACGGGAGCCAATTTATGGACAGTTATGTCGTGATCATGTTTAATATTAATTAATGTTTTTGAATATATAGAAAATTATTAATAAATGATTAAACTAACCAGTTGATATCAAAATTTAAACAGAGGAGAATATCAATAATCAACAATGCACGTCCTCGATTAAATAAATAAATAATTAGGACATCAATATTAATATCGGTCAGATTAAAATGTTGTTTAAACTTGTTTCTTCACGAAACAATAAAATATCCTAGAAAAATGCGAGATATTGCTACAGAGGCACTTCATGATAAAACTCACAGTGCATTAAATTTAGTCGATAATTACGAATGCGCTTGCTTTACATTTTTTATTTAACATCATTAACTGCACACAGACAAGGTTTTGTTAATTTTATGGGCTTAAATTACAGGCAATTTCCGCTCGATTTTTGTTCTTCCGCAATAACGCGATGACGTGTTGTTAGAGTTCGTCGTAGTGGTTTAGCTATTATATCAAATTAACGATTAAAAATATTTTGTAAATAAATTTTATTGACAGTTGAAACAAAAGGATCCGTTTGATTAGTGGCAAAATTTATCAATTTATTTCCTTTTTCGAATGCGATAAGCAATTGTTGCATAAGGTAAGTGGTACGAGCATATATCGCAATTTACGTTAATGACATAATTAAAGAAACAACCGACACAGAAGGTTAGACATTAAGTGAATTACAGTGATTCATTTATGCAATTATGGCAATCGTTAAATGAAGGCCACGCGAAAGTCGTTCTATTTAATGTCTGCATATTGAAATTACGCGATACGTAAGAACATTTGATCTCGTTTAGTTGATCTTGTGCTAAAATAGCATTGACCTCACGTAAGAAAAACTGCACGTATATATCCTATTATAGAAGATGTATCGATGAGATGATCTCGTATGCAACAATTACTCGTAACATTTCATTTTGTAATTTGTTTATGTGCAGAAGCTTCCGTATATGATGCACAAGAGCATAAAATTTCATCAGTCAGAGTTTGCGACTGATCGACCGTGACCGAAGGGTCACATAATTTGTACATTCGAGCTTTGCAAGAAACATAACAAATCATTTTAAAACACATTTCATAGACAATAACCAATAAGTTGTAATGTTTGTGCGAATATAAGTATCTTTGAGATAATTCCGGTATGTTTCGACTATGACTAATTTGAATAAAAAACAGCTGACCATTGCAGTTTAAACTTGACTATTGAAACACGCGTTAATTCTGCTTTTATAGCTATTATATTTATTCATTTATTTATTTTTTAAAGAGAAGGCTTCCCTTAGCCACATACAGTAGAAATAACATACCTAGCTTAGAAGTAAATAAATGATAATAATAATATTAAATAGTACTAGCCAAAATACTCGTATGCATGTTGACATAAATTGGCTTGTATTTGACTATCACGAATCACTTCTCAGATTTGTTAAATTACCGAACTATTCTTTCCTCTTTATTCTTGTTATTTTCGACGGGCAAATATTGTCGAGATACTTCGAAGTACTAGGAAATTCCTCCCAAACTTCGCCTCGTGTAGAAATCCAAGGAAATGCTCTTTCGCGCAAGAACGCAGAGTGTGAAGGAGTTACGCTAATCTGATTAGTGTAAACGTGTACGACATAACCGTTTAACGATTTACTTCTCTACAGCAAATCCAATTATTCATTATATGTAATTGCACCACGATCATTAAACTATTCGTATCCATCACAGTCGCGTGATTATGAAATCGCACCCGGTACATTCGCCGGCAAAAACTCACAAGCCGATCGTACAATTTAACGTCGACTAACGTTGACGTTGATTACAAGTAATGTCAGTCATGGTGTCAACGATGCGTTGGAAATGCTTAATTTTTTAATGTTTCTCGATTTAAAAAATGCTGCGATCTGATCTTTACGATCGTCCGATTACGAGATTCTTCGACTAAATATATACATATGATCACGACTAACTTTTTATGCGTTACGTAAACGATTCCAGTAACGTATAATAACGTAAAGATATTTAAAACGTAAGATATTTAATCATTCCACTATTTAGCCCGGGTAACATTGCTAATCGCGCAGGAATCTACGACGCGACCAGCGCCCAACCAGGAATATATCTTTGATTGCGTACGAAATCTCTATTTCTTCCTGAAAGGTTCTATTTCCCTTGTTTCTATGAATTGAGTCACGGAAGGAAAATTCGCTGCATGCGGTCGAGTCAATGAGAGTACATGCGATTTATCTTGCTAACGTCAAAAATATGCGTCAAGTCAATTATGTTTTTGCGCACGCTGTATGTCATTAAAACTGTCCACGTGAGTCAGTAGAAACTCTTAAGTTCTCATGAGTTAGAATTGCATCGATTATTACACTGATAGGAATTTCGAGATTGTTAGAGATTGTTACTTCGAGAAATGAAATTGCGAGCATGGAAGAATTTCGAAAATAGAAATACGAATAGCGTATTGATTCGCTTATCTTGAAAAAAAATGCTGAAATAATAATATCAAAGTATAGACTTTCACTTTAGAATTACGGAACAGATTACAATTACAAAAAATCATGTTGATTCTGAAAGGAATAAACGTCCAATATGGTCGGAGAAACTTAATTATTTCGGCATAATCCCGAAATTAAACCGAGCTTCGTGTATGATTTTTTAATAAATAATAACGTCCGTCGAAACTTCGAATGTAATTAACAGCACATGCTAAATCCGCAGTATAGTAAGGTTCGAAATAAGCACGGTACGCTGTTCACAAAAATTGAGTCGACTGGATATCCTTGAGATTCCGATAATGTAATCGAGCTAGTTGATTTTGCGCGCGTCTGCATCTGGCACAATACATCGATATCATTTCAATACTTCGTAAAAATATATTCTACTCGTTAGAATTTCAAAACTACGAAGATGCGCTACGATGCGTAGTTTATGCATGCGTAGTTTCACAACGGGAGAATATATTATTGAGAAAAGGATTACTGGTATTATATTCAAAAAAAGTCTAGTAACATATACAATCGAGAAAATGATTTTGTACAAGTAGCTAATGCAAAACAAATGTAATGTAAACCAAAATCCAATAGTTAAAATATAATATGCAGCAACGTACGCGAGCAGAAAAGAAACGGGAGAATTCAAGGAGAAACTTCTCAAGCTAAAACAGACTCGTAAATTATATCGTTTCTATGGTAACCTTTATAGAAATCTTCTTCTTACATGCATGTTAATTTAATCGAATGATAAGTTTCTCATTAGCGCAAAAGTCATAAATTCAGTGCATTAATGAATTCATGATAAATCGTTTTTCGCATCGTCAAGAGAAAAAAATATGACTAAAATCAAAGATAAACGAGATAAGCACGCAAAGAGAGGAGCAAGTTTTTCCATGAAAAAAAAATATCGTCGTTTTGTCTCCGGATTGCATTGAAGAATGTATTAAAAAATTTCCGCCAGGCACATGTGATGATAGTGGGATTTTTGCACAAATTATCCAACTTTTCCTTTTCATTGTCAACTATTGATTAGACCTTAACATCACTCTCTTTAACGCTCTCATTATTTCATAAAAGACAAGACTCTTCCTCTTATCCTTTACTAATTTTGCTAATCTCGCTAATTAATAATCTTGTTAATTAATTGTCAGTTAAAGGTGAAATTTTCACGAAGAAAGAAAGCAGATTCTGTATTTGAGAGACAAATTTCAACTGGTATATAATTGCTTATGCATACGATTTATAAATAAAACTTCGTTCGACTGGAAGTGAGAGCTCGTTCTAAAAACGGCTGAGGATTCCCTACGTAAACGTCAATGCGGTTTTCTGTGGGTTTCCTGCTCTTCGATTACGTGGCCTTCGAGGAACGAGACGCTCGACGTCAGGAAAAAGGATCAGGAGTCGCTGAGCGGGGAACTCTGCGATAAAAATCGTTGGAATTGCGAGCCTGTTCGACTATTCCTTATCCACCCCCACTCGTAGGTGCCAACAGAGTGGCGAGAGCAGAAATATAAACACCATCGCAGATTGTGCCGCGAAATCGTCGATTCCGAACGCGACTGCCGTCCAGGCCTAGAGTGTCGAAAGTGCTCGATTGGTTTGAAAGTGTCTCTAAGAACATCGCGAAAATGTTTCTGGTGCAGTCGGCGATTTTCAGCGCACTTCTTGTCGGCCTCGCTACGTCCGCTAATTCCGATACGGAATTGCAGCTGCTCCATGTGGTAAAAAATTATTTCATTTTTTCATAGATTCGTCTTCTTGTGATTCGCAAGATATTTTTTCCGAAAAGAAGATCGTGCGAACCGTTACGAAATACCATCGTTTTCGAGGATTTAATATCTACTTTCTACTCGTGAATATACGATAAAATCGCGTTCGTTCGATATCCGTTTCTTCTACGAGAGTGAAACGAGTGTTCGTTTTAAACTTGTATCAAATAAATCACTAGTACACTCGCGTCGTGAAATCCGCACATGTGAATGTGACATCGAAAGAGAAAAAGAAAGAGAGAAGTTTTCGAAAGAAATTAAGAAGTTAAGGGCAAGTGATCATCCCTCGTGCGAGACAAGTAACAAAACATTTGCATTATCAAGACCGTCGTCTGGATCGCGTGACAGTGATGATAATAGATGACGACGATATAACTTACAAGAATGTTCTCTGTTTCGAAGGTATTTCGCCACGGGGACAAAGTGCCTCATCGTGAGTTCCAAAACTACCCCAACGACCCATATCGCGACCATTCTTACTATCCAATGGGAAGCGGCGACTTGACCAACGTAAGTAGAAACTACGGCGATTGATAGGAGACACTATGTTGCGTAATTAAGCATGTAGATTCGTTCATTAATTTTGCTATATTAGCGATTTCATTATTCGACGGTGTCAGAAACATAATATATGTTATGCTGTATTATCGTTGTATATAATATTTTTGAGACGATAATATCCTTTGAGATAAATTAAACAGCGTGGAGCTTGTAAAGTTGTTTTTTCTGCAACGTTCTCATCGGTTTTATAATTTCGCTCTTACGTAATGCGTAACACGAGCGTTCGACGTTCTTATCTTTCGAATTCTGTCTTCTAATACTTCGAGAAAGAATGTCTGCGAAATAAAAGGGTAAATAAAAAAAAAACTTTAAAGAAGGCTTTCACAGCAGAAATGATTTGTATTTTGCTAAAGCGCGTAGAAGGTTCATTTCTGAGAAAGATAGACTTTGAATCACAAGCGGTGCTTTATAATTCCTAAGATATTTTTAGTTAAAAATATATGATTAAAAGTAAAAATGAGAAAATTTTGTAGAATATTTTAAAATAATATTATCTCACACACAGTATACGAGGCCTGTCCCAAAAGTTCGATCTCTGCGTTTTACTTTACTTACTTTCTTTGTCCTCGGGTATTCTGTTGTGGAAAACAAGCATTCAATATTTAGGGAGGACTTTGAGGAGTATTCCTACGAAGTGGCACGACCCAACAGCTGTTGTGTGAGCGTCGAAAATTCCGAACGTCGTATTTCACAATGACCGAGCGAGTTAAGCAGAAAATTTGCATTAAATTTTGCCAAAAACTTGGCCGCACATGTTCCAAGACAATCGGTATGATCCGTAAAGTTTACAGTAAGACTCTATGAATGATACAAAAATAAAAGAGTGGTTTAGACGATTCAAATATGGCCGTGTCTCGTGAAGGCAATATTCACTGTCTTCGACTAGGAAGGTGTTGTACACTACGAATATGCTTCAGAACGTTGCGCAATAAACAAGGAATATTACTTGGAAGTTCTTAAACGATTTTGTGACGCAGTGATGAGGAAACAGCCGCATTTGTGGAAAAGTAGAAACTGGCTGCTGCATTATGATACGCACCTATTCATTCATCTCACCTGATTCAGGATTTTTTGACTAAAGACGGCATTGTCCAACTTCGCCAACTCCAGTACAGTCCAAATATAGCCTCATGTGACTTCTAGTTTTTAAATTAAAAAATCCGTTGAAGAGTAAAAGATTTGACAATGTTGAGGAAATAAAACGAAATGCGACGAGGAAGTTGCTGGCTATCACAAAAAACAACTTCCAGGACTGTTTCCGGAAATGGGTGGACCGCTGGAAGATCATTGCTTCGAATGGAGACTGCTTTGAAAGCGATATTGTTCATATCACTTCAGAGTAGGTCTTTCTCGTGATATAGGCAGAGGTTGGATACTTTTGGGATAGACCTGGTACATCTTACTATGTTCAAAAACAGTAGTAGTAAAATGTATTCACATTTCTTTGCTGTATTCGCTACACTATAAATCCAACTGTGATTTTAACTGAGGTTTTTCTTACACATTTCCTGCCGTTTTAAATCATGTCATTCAACATGATTGGACGTGTTAACATATAATTTAACACGATTAAAAATTTTAAATGATGTACGTAACCTAAAACGATAAGAAATACGTAAAAAGGTCTTCAGTCAAATATATATTTTTACGTTTATGTATGTAAAAATAACACATAACTACGCTTAACAGTGTATACTTTATCGAAATGCGTTACTAATGCGGTCTTTAACTTCTAAATCAGATTTCAAAATTTCAAGCTTTAAAAGCAAACTTGCAACTATTCGAATTTCTTACTATTGTCGGAAAAGAAGGTAAAAGAAAATAAATTGACTTCTTAATAAAATATTCTGTATTTTAGTACATGGTAGACACATCATTTCAGAAAAGTTTTTTTCTTCTTCTTATGTTAGGTTTTTCAGAAAAGTGGAAAATATTAAAGATTTTATAGAGAGAGAGAGAGAGATTTTTCTTATATACTTCATTTTAGTGTACAAATTATTGAACATTAACTGAAAATATCTTAGAAAATATAACAGAGTACCATCTAAGTCTAAAACATATTTTATTTAAATATTAATCCTCCATAACATCGAAGTCATTCGCGTTGTATAAATCACTCTAAAAATCTATTATAAAATATAATTAAATCTTCATTTCTATCTTCATTTCTATAACGTACTTGTTCCGAACGACTGGAGATATAGCTATTCTCGAAGTTGAAGAGATCGGGTGTAGAAAAACACTCATATGTTTCTTCGATGTTTCTTCGCTTTTATACGAATCTACTTGATATCAATCTAAATTATAATGTCTTTCATTGCAATTAGCAAGGCAAGATGCGGGAATACAAGATCGGGACGATGCTGCGCGAGAGGTATGATCAATTTATCGGTCCGGATTATTGGCCGGCCAAGATCTACGCCCGATCCACGGAGGTCCCGCGGACCCAGCTGTCTCTCCAGTTAGTCCTGGCAGGATTATTCCCGCCCTCCGAGAAGCAAACCTGGAATCCGCACTTGCCCTGGATTCCAGCTTGGTCGTTCTTCTTGCGGTATGAGGTTGACAACCTCTTGTTTCCGCATTACTGTTATCGGTGAATAACTTTACAGAATATCGATCGCGGGACGATAACAGGCTCGAGGATCCTTAAATCTTTCGCCTCGAGTCTTCCTTACGCCAATTTTGTCCCTACTTATTGGAATCATAAATGTCCCTCTTTCCTATTTTGAGTTCAACTCTGCGCGCAGTTCCGATAATGTTCTTCTGATTTCCGAATCGCACGACCTATTCTCGACTGTTATTGATTTTTAGATACAAAGAAGAATACAGACGATTCCTTCAGCTAGACAGCACGAAGCAAATGATTAATAAATACAAGAGCGTGATGGATTATTTGACGGACCACTCCGGCAAATTGATTGACAATACGGGGGCGGTCGCCCACATATATAATCTATTGAAGGAAGAGGTAGGCGAACGAGCGTCTCGACAGTAGCAAATCGACCGAAAAGAGCACGTTTATCCGAATTCCAAATTTAACGCGAATTATTTCCAGGCGGCGCAAAACCTAACGCTGCCAAGATGGACGGAGAACGTTTTCCCGAATCCAATGCAAGATATAATAGAATTGGACTTCAAACTTCGATCGTATACGAAGACTCTGAGGAGATTAAATGGAGGTTAGCACAGTTTCTGCATAATCCACACATCTGATCGTACTGTTTAGAAATGAAACCGCGCAATTTCTAACCACAACGTCATCCGCAGGTATATTGCTTCGCAAGATGGTGGACGATATTCAGGAACACCGAGCGGGAAAATTGTCAAGCGACAGGAAAGCTTCCCTATTTGGCAGTCACGAAGTCAACATAGCTGCAGTTGCCTACGCTCTAGGAACGAACGAACCAACGGTACCCGCTTATGGCTCTGCAATCATTTTGGAAACTCATCGCGATAAGAAAGGATCCTATTATGTTCGGGTACGTTACACCTGTCACATATATCAAATAAATGATTGTAGAATTAAATCGATCCACACTGCTAAATTTTCGCACAAAGCGAAATGACAAGTAGCGAATGACAAATTCTGTAATACCAGCAAAAAGAGATCGATTTTCTCCTGTTTTCATCACTTGTTACATATCTTTTTATTCTCCGCTGAGCACGTATTACATGCCCAGCATGTACATGTATTAAAATACGAGAGAAAATCTAGGGAATAACTAAAAGATTCTAGTCGGAATCGATTCCGAATAATACGTGCCCTGATAATGGTGCTTTCAATTCTCATACGAATACATATCGGGGATTTATATCGTTTACGTATCTTGTCTCCAACAGGTCATACTATGGACTGGCGTTACCGAGCAACTGATCGTCCAAACAATCCCCGGCTGCGCGGAATTATGTCCTTTTGAAAAGTTTCTTGGCATTGTGAAGGACGTTCTGCCGAACGACGATGAGTATTACTGTCATAAGAATAAAACAACGGACGACTTGAAGCCGAATGCGCATCATCGGTCATCGGCGGCGAGCATCGCCGACGACAGGATTTGGCGGCATATCTTCCTCGTGGTTTTACTCGCGTTCACATCGAAATTCGTGCAGAAGTGATTTCCAGTCGCGAGAAACGCGGTATATATTCTAGATATTTATTTATTTCGGTACTTCCGCGCGACTAAGCAAAGCAAAGGAACAGTGATGTAATCCTTAACCGGGGGAATAGTTGTGAAAATAATCAGCGGCTCGCCGATAGCCGTATCGGAAATACCTTACCGAACTATGAGAGTACCCCGGGTAAAGCCCAGAGAGGTTGCGGCTATACATTTCACTGCGTACGTTGCGGTTATCGCGTTGATGTATTTTACCGCATACATTGTTATATGTCGCGTTGTACACAAATTCTGTACATATGTAAATAGATGTAGGTACACCGATCTTATTTGATAATAGCCAATATCACAGCATGTTCAAAGTAAATCCCTCACTCGTGATATCAAAAGCGCTGGAGCCGGGAAGCCCACGTTGCACTCGATCAATCGTTCGTAGATGTATGTAATTAAATATTGTCGATAGAGGTCATTTCAGATATCCACCGACATTTTTCTCACTGCCGTACGAGCATCTAGGAACCGCGTCACTACATTAATATTATCACTCATTCCGATTAAAACATTATTTATAGCCATGCATGGAAATCAATAAAGATCTGGTAATAATAAGTTGAAGTCTCAAAATACGTTTTCTCTGTCCGCCCAACGTGTCGCTGTAGATGTACAAAATAGATACGGTTTACGGCGACAAGAACTAGGTTACGTATTAAATGCGCGATTAAATTGTTACAAAGGGCTAGTAATAGAATAGTGCAACGAGCAGAAGCTGCATAAAGTATAAGCGTCAGTTTGACAACTATTTTAATGTTGCAAATACCGTAATTGGGTTAAGCTCCCCATTTGGCGAACGCGAAATTGGAGCGAATTCGATTCCGAAATGAACGGACCGGTTCTCCTATTTTTGCCGAGGTGAAGAGTTCAAGAACCTGAACGCGGTCGTACGGTTAGCCCGACGTTTCGCGTAGATGCGCGAAGTAGAAATAGACGTCGCGATTTCGATCGACGTATCCATCGCGTCGATTTAGAGCGCCGTTAAAATTGCAAAAGAGGAGAGACGGGAATTTATTCCTACGTGACATTTAATATTTACGGCGCGCTAAATCGCGATGGAAAAAGTCTGAGAAGCATCGCCGCCGTCGCTGCCGCGTGATTCTCGCGCGATCCTTCGCGTTTTCCGCTCGGCGTGGAATCAAGTATCCCGGCGCAGATACGCGCCAGGAGGGGTCTCTGCACTTTCGTTACGGTGATTCACCTTGCGTGGCGAAACCGCGAATGCGTGTGCATCTGATGCACACTCGTTACGGAACATGTTTCGTATCAAGTGCGTTATTTACATAACGACGGCTCTTGACAGCGCGTTGCGCGAGGTATCATCGGACAAATAACACGCTTGTTTTATGCTCTCCTGCTATCAAGAAAATGAATACGTCCAACAGTCGCGGATTAAAACGGTATATAAAGAATTAACGCGACGAATCCTATCTTCCTTTTTGACTTGAAATAGCGAATACTAAAAGCGGTAGCGATGATATAAACTCCGTGAATTATTTCGAACAGGAGTGTCTCACTTATTTTCCGCTATTATGAGTTTCTATTTTCCAATCGTGCTGTATCAGCTTTCAATTTAAAATAGTGGTAGCGCTGAGCGTATTTTCCAATGGCACATCAAGGGGGCCACTTATAAATTTAATATTTATCAAGCAAAGTTATGTTTCTATATATTTATTTCAATACCTAAAGAACAAATGTTAATTTGGAACGAAGTTGAGGTAGACATATATATACAATATATTACACAAATACGAAAATATTATTTTTTATTTTCCGTATGAATGCTATTTTTAATTTTTGATGCATTAGTTGATTTAATAGAGATGCACGGATAATAGAAAGAGGTATATAAATAATTAACCCTTTGCACTCGAGGGCTCCGGAGCGGAGCCATTTAAAATTTGTCTTCAAACTCGAGGACTCCGCTATGGAGACAATGCAAGTAACTTTCAGTTCATAACATAAGGACAAAGACAAATCGTAAAAACTATTGCGTATAGGATATTCCGCTCTTGCTATTTGCATTTGAGTTTGAAGAGTTTGAAGACAAATTTTAAGTGGCTCCGCTCCGGAGCCCTCGAGTGCAAAGGATTAAATGTGTGTATGTATATGTATTTTGAGTATTACTAGTAAGTTATGAACTTTATGATGCTGCATTTTTCAGATAAAATAAATATAATAAATAATAAAATAAAATAAATAGCCAATAATTCTGAATTTTTTGCGTAATATTTCTATATTAGTCCTTAATATCACAGTAGTTTTTCATTAAAATCCAAAATATTTAGAAGAAATTAAAAATAAAAGTTAGAAAGAAGTCAAAATAAGGCCTCAAGGATTAATCTCAAGAAATACGTATTAAAAAGTTTCCTATTACACGAATATCTCAGCTTTCGAATGGTCAATAATTTTTTAATTGCGTCAATAATCAGGTTATATTTAAATCTATATATAGTGCTAGCTTTCAAGGAATTCTTGAAAATTCATTTTATGCTACTACTACCTTAAATTCACGTTGATTCATCTCCCTAAGAAGAAAACAGACCGGTGGAGCGTTTCAAATCGAGGAAACATTTTCAGTACGATTACGAGCAGTTTGCGAGGCAAAAGTGCCGCTGGCACAGTCCAGTGTACTCTGTACGATTCGAACCCGCTGCATATAACCACTGCATCAATTTACACGAAATTGTGTGCACAAGGATGCACGTGTATGTGCATGTGCGCAAGTATGCCGCTCAATTTGAATAATTAACAGCGTTGAATTATTAAAGCTCGAGATCTGGAAGGCTCGTTAGCGCGATCGGAAACGCCACTTCATTACTCGTATTTGCTCAAATAAAGTACTTCAGACGTTTAATACGGGCGTTTGATTTCGAATCTTTCTTAAAACAAGTATATCATTTTCTAAGAATGATCTCTCCTAAGATGTATATTCCAGGTTTATGAATGAGAATATTTAAATTCTTTCAGTTATATTGAAAGAGAGATAATTACAGGAGCGTGCCGATAAGAAGTAGAAAGTTTATAACGCATGCTATCCTTCTTCGCGAATAAAACGAATCGTGATCGCGAGACGTTCAGATATGCGCGCTTATCATGGAAGATGGCAAATTACGAGCGTGTAAAGGTGAAGGTGTGGGAGTGCATACCACCGATGAGCGGCAGGTAATGTCCTCTCAAGGCAAGAATTTCTCAATAGGCACGCGATTGTTTAAGTGGCAGGCGCAGATACGCCACCGGCGAAGGAGCATCCCGAGGAATTTCCAGTTTACATTTACGTGAATTCCGTCGAGGCGTATTCGTTGTATTTTAAATATTTTCGATATCTTGTCGATTGCCGGGGAGCACGATTTTACCGAATAAGAGGGATAAAATCTAGATATAATCGCACCAAGTTCACGTGAATTGTAAAATATAATAAGATGAGATAAACAGATCGTGCGATTTCTTCGCTAATTATGTGACGAGAAATATATAGCAATAAAATAGCATTGTGTAGAAGTTGAGACAGAAATTCAGACAATTGAGATTGAAGTATAAGGATAATTAATGCTCCTTCTACTTTTATAGTTACTCTTTAATTCATTCTCTCGTCAGCGCAAAAATGTAGATGTGACTGACAACCGTTACTATCAATAATGGTTTCCGTGTTATTAACACGTCTCCTCGCACGTAATAGTCCGTCGTTTTTCATCAATCCTTTCGCTTTCTCATCTTTTTCGCTCGAAAGCATTTTTCTCGACGTACATTTATGCAAAATGCATCAAGAAAGAACTTGCACGGTCCTGTGAGTCAGCGATCCGTCACGTATTTCTCATAAGCGCTTCCCTTCGCTGCGCACCGCATTTCGCGAATAAAAGATGCAGTGCATTCCTACCGCAAGCTTTCAAGTGGCTACTATATCCTTCGCCGCGTTACCGGAGGTCGAGGACAAAGCTTGTGAGATTCGCGTGCGCATCTGCGCTTATAAAGTGCAATTTCTTCAATCCTATAGAGAAATTTCGCCTGAAGATTTCAATTTATCTCCATCTTAAATGTCCGACGCGAATACACAATGCAACAATGAGACAATAAATGAAATGGAAAGTAGAGTCCGTGCATGCATGCGTACGTCTGTGCGTGCGTGCGTGCGTGCGTGAGTGCGTGCGTGAGTGAGCGAGCGAGCACCTGGTGAAAACAAAATACCTGAGCCGCGCGAGCGAGATCGGATTGCCGGGAAAAATCGGACAAAGTAGGAGGAGGAAGGCGGTAATTGGCCGCGATTGTTACGAGGAATGACGAAGGAGGAGTATTGTTTGCATTTTACGAGGAGGCGCGCGCGAACGATCGTAAGCGCGCCGCCGCAGCTTCCTTGGCCGTGTAATTTAAGCCGTGCGTAAGTACGCGTATTTTCTTACGCGTGAAACCCACCTGCGTGACGATTACATCAGCCGAGGCTCGAGGCGCCGCGGTTTTCCGACCAATAAACTCATCCTTCGACTCGTCACAAACGACGAGTAAAAGCGATCGAATCAGGCTCGACTTCTCGAGAATACAGGTTCGCGCAATTAATCGACTAATTCCGCGCGTGTTTTTACCTTCCGCTGCAATAACGCGCCGAAATTCCGACGAGACACCTTTTACCTCGTGAATACTAATGGCGAAACCGAGTCTGCGGTATGCAGAGCGAGTGCATTATCAACGGCTACTGCCGTTAAACCGGCAAATGCATTTTGTGTGTTTCGGCTGGATTGTACCGCCGTGTCGCGCGTCGAGATTTTACCGGATCGCTGCGATATTCTCCGCGACGGGTTCCGAAAAATAGTCCGGAAAGCGTCGCGGAATCGGGACGACGTCGTCGTCGTTGTCGACGAGAGCGTTCAGCCCGCGAGCAAACGGCGTTTCACGATGAAATCGCAATCTCGGCATAATCTCTGAGATTTTCAAAAGTAATCGACTGCTCACACATCGAGATGGTGTTGTAATAACAACCGAAAGGATATTCCGATATTTTTCTTCCTTATTATAATAACCGATTAATGGATCGCTGTAATTGTCAAGCCGAAGGATATGAAGAATCACGTTCGTTTATCGTGTCGTAATTATCGCTCGCGATAAACTTTTCACAGTGTTTTCAGACACGAATTTCACGCGAACGAAGTGCGCGAAATATTTTCCACGGGATAGATAATCTTCAATTAGCGTCAGCAGCTGCGCCGGCTAGGTATTCGGTAGCTACACAGGTTGGTAGCGCGAATCGTTAGATTTCTATGCAGGTGCATAATCACGATTTATTAATAGATAGATCGTGCCGTTCGTGCGAAGCATCCGAGCTCCGTCATAAACGCGACTGTGCCCGCAGACACCGCGTTAATTGCCGCACGTGAATGGGAACGTGTGACGGCGTCGTCGGCGATGCCCATCATCGCGATAAATACGCGAGGTATATCGTAATTAATTCAACCGAGCCGATGGGAACCACGCGCCGGATAGTTTTCGGAGTTACGAGACTAATTACTCTTACCTGAGATTAACCGAAACGATAAGGCGGATAACACACGAGCGTCCGTCCGTGAGTACACTTGTTAATCACCGATCTTCGCTAGGAGAAAGGACTCGTTTTACTGGTACCTACAAACAGGCGAGCAAAAAGCTGTCTTCACGCTGTTCTCAACTAGAATGTGGAGGAGAAACGTCGGTGTGAAAAACATGTCACCTTCGCGGACAATGAGGTGAGGTATTTATTATTGCTTTGGCTTCGGTACGGGGATAATAGTCATCATCCGATGCCGGAAATCGCCGCAGAACACGTCATTCTTGATTACTAATTTAATATTCCAATGAGGAAGTGTTCGTTGAGATAATATAACCTACGCCTGGCGAATCATTACTCGATCGAAAAAAGGAAATAAAAATGGCGTCGCTCGATATTGAAAAAATCGCGAGGGAATCGCCGCGACTGTTATTTACCGGCGGGCTGCGCCCGACTCGTCAATATATCGACGAAATTGGTAGATCGCGAGACGTGACTTCGCGCACCGTCAGGTTGCGCAAACGTGACTCACATTTGATCGTTCGCGCCGTCGTCGTTTTATGTAACGCCCGCGAAACGTTCGATGCTAGCAACGGCGTTATAAATAAAGCGGCCGTAGGTCGCGCATCGGAAAAACACTCTCGGCCGATGGATAATCCATAAAGACTCACCCGATCGCTCGTCGAGTCCGGGAACTGTCCGCACCGCCTCGTACGCGGGGAGAGTCGCACGCTGCTCCCGCGAGGTCCGGCGTTATCCTTGGTGCGTTGCACTGAAAAAATCCGTCCGTGCGGCACGCGAACCACCGCACCGGCATGCGCTCACAACGTTGCACACGAGCGAATTTCCGAACGAATTCGCGCCGGCCAATCGCTTCCGTTCCCGTCGCACTTCCGAAATTCCCGACGCTTCCGTGCCGTTCCCCGTTCCGGCCGTTCCGTCCGTTCGGCCGGCAACGAGCCCGCGAAGCTGCCGAAATCCGTCACGAGAACACTCGACGAGCGTGACACGAGTAGCCGCGAACGCGCGCACGTTGCCAGGTTGATTCCGCTGTCACGCCTCGGGCACCTCCACGGTGCATCGTAGGCAGGTGCCAGGTAAGGAACTAGGAATCCAGGTGCCCTTGCTGCCGGCGACGTCATTACGCGGTTCGCTTTCGCAATTTTCGCGGCGCGCTGCGCCGATTCGCGCAGTCGCACGCCGTCTACAGGGTGTCGCGCAAAGAGCGGCCGGAGACCTCGCACCACCTACCGCTGACGGAGGGAAATAAAAAGATTCGGTCGTGTGCGATAAGTGACCAAAGGTGGTTCGGTACTTCAGGCCGCGATAGAGGAAGAGCACAGGAGACTAGACCCGTTATGAAACAAGTAGGAACTAGCATTGCCTGTATCGAATGCAGCTATACAAACGTATATCAACCGTTTATTTCAGAGAATAAAGAAATAATTCGTTAATTCCACATGATGATTCCATTTACCGTTAATATATTCCGCAAATATTTTACTCGGGAGATTTATAGTAATCATGGCGCAGCTACTTTGCAAAGGCGTGGTTTTGATGTTAAAGATGGAATTCTGATCCCGCAGATTTATTGAGCGACTAATCAAATCCGACCCATTAATCAAGTAACGGTTCACGTACGGACTCTATCGTAGGAGGGAATAGAAGGTCGTACAGAAAGTCTCTCGTAGCTTATTGCTTTGAGACGTAAAGGCTTTTACTATACATAAAGATTTACGATTTTCTCGGTCTGTTATTGTTAAATCGACTTTCGGCCCTCCCGTTCAGTTTCAAGTTTCTCCTCGTTTCAATTGTCAACATATCTTTCGATGAATTTCTGATTGTTTCGAGATTCATTATTACGTTGCACTTGACGCTCGTTATGAATAAGTTTCCAGACCTTTAACACATTTCTCTCTTTCATTAACGTTCAATGATATGGAGAGAAAAGTTGATTACGAATGAATCTTTCGATTGTTCTCAATCCCGAATCTTCAAGAGCAAGTCCGTAACGTTGATTGCCGGAGAAAATCCTCCATGTTGCCATAAATATATATACTTTCGTTTCAGAAATATGGAGCAGGTGAAATGACATAAATCTCAGAGCGACAAAAAATTCGCCAAAGATCGAGGATGTTGGTACTCTTTGAAATACGTTCTCGTCTTGTTTAGTTACATTGTCGATACTTACCTTCGACATTCAATAATGTAACGATGACTGAAGAATTGCGAAGAATAAAACAAAAATAGGCCGTAAATTTCTATCGTAATACACACGATACTTCAATATTTGAGCGTTGGTTTCTTTTTATATCTGTTTCATTTAGAGTGCAGAAAGTGTAAATAGGTGCAATTTGAAAGCACCATTACATTTTTACGCTTGTATAGGCTTGCGTTCCCCTTAATTACACATTCAACAATTAAAGCGGAATAATTATAGGTTAGCGCTTTTATGGGGGAGAATCGAAAGGAGGGGAAAGAAAGTACAAGTGTAGAAAAGGTGCGGTAAAAAGAGAGCAATTCGCCGACGTTACCAGCGCCCATCGATGGAGGCGCTCGGGTCGAGTTTCGTGAGCAGCACGACGTCCGTCGACGATCGCCGGACGTTGTCGAATTCGCAGCGCGGCGCGACGGCGGACAGCCGCTAATTATCAATGGCGCGATGACGCGACGCCGTACAAATGGCGGGTAATGAAACAGCTGTTCAGGCCGCCGCCGGCTCGACATCTAGCGGAGCGCGGGCGCGATCCGGCGCGCGTCGGCGACGACGTCGACGTAGAGTACGTCGTGGCGAGGAAGAACGTAGACCGCCGAGGAGAACCGCGACGGTGCTCGCGGGTGACCTGTCGAGGAGGAACATGGCCGCTGGCTGTTGCGGCGCGAAGAAGCAGAGGCTGGGCGGTACGTCAAGCCTATCGCCTTGCGACGGCAGTGTTGTTACGCGACACGGCGCTCCTCAACCGAGGAAGTGCACGATCGCCCAGCCAGAGATGGGTTTCTTCTGCTTCGACGTGCTCTACTGCCAGCTACACCAGCTGGACCCGCCGAAGGCGCCGAACTTCAGCAACGAAGCGTTGTGAGTAGCCTTCGCGGCGTCCTAACTCTGCGTATGTAACATACCATCTACCCGTCTCTATCTCTTTCCCTCTCTTTCTCCCGCTCGCGTAGCACGACCGCGGTCTGTCTCGCTCGCGCGCCGCGTCAGCTGTTGTCTTCGTTTGATCTCCGATGACGCTTCGTCTTGATCGCCGCGCACGCTTTGTCGCCGAGTCGCGCGATTCAAGATTACGATCGCCTGCGATTTCTGACGTTGGCCGACGCCGACTCTCCACGTTGCACGGATAGATGCAGGGGGGACGTTGTGTTTCACGACAGTTATCGGATTTTTATTTTCGTGTGCTTACAGCTTATGTGTACATATATACACACACACACACACACACGCACGCACGCACGCGTCGAACTCTCGCAAAGTTAGTCAATCTTTGACGTTCGACATTTGACCCCGCGAGAAATCTACCTGCATAATCGACCAGGACGGACGTTATTGACGCATTGTTTGATCCTCGCGTGTGGATTTAGCCGTTGGTGTGCGCGTTATCGCGGCGCGCTTCGATTTCTCGTATTGTATAGCGGCTATGCCAGCTATGTAGGCCACCGAGGACGCCTTCGTTGTTACGGTATCTGTGGAAGTGTCGTTATTAGCAATGGCGATGAGTTTATCATCTTTGTAGACGTCCTCGTGCTGCAAATATTGTTTCGACTTCGGAAAGATTAGCGCCAGGGATTGAGTTGTTCGATATTGTTTCCGATGTTGCATTTATTTTTCTCGTATATCTCGCCGAATACCGAGCGCTCGTTCGTTCCACTCGCACAACGAACCGCACAATTCTGGCTCCGTTCGCTTCGCCCCTTCTTCACCCCCCCACCCCCCTTCTTCTTCGTTGCGTGTGGTTGTGTAGTGGAGGAAGAGAGAAATGTGTATCTAAGCGCGAGATTTTTAATGCAGATACATCTTTTCAGCCCTTTATTTGTGACATGGACAATAGGAAAAGATATGAGGTTGCGAGGTTGTATCGGTACTTTTAACGCGATGCATTTACACGCTGGGCTACGAGAGTACGCTGCAACTAGGTGAGACAATGTTTCTCACGAACTGAGAGATGTTACGTAATATCAGACCTAGATCATTGCTATGCGAGTACCAGTGGTATTTCACGTGTCGGAGCAGAACAATCACGCAGTCTGACGTATGTTTCCGTCTGTGTGTTTTAAAGCGCATTCAAAGACTCTCGGTTCAATCCCATTACACGGGACGAGCTGCCACGTTTGCACGTGAGCGTGTCGATTTTACGGCATTTCGAGGACGGGGTTGACTATTTAGATTGGGAGGTGGGCGTACACGGGATTCGTATAGAGTTCCACAATGAGAAGGGTAATAAGCGGACGGCCACTTACTTGCCCAGCGTAGCTATGGAGCAAGGTGCGTATCTGTAACTGTAGGATAGGACCAAGTAGTGTGCAGATTCTCCTTAGTAATCCAGTTCGAAAGTGAGAGGAAGTGACAAGCAATAACACTTAAACCCCGTTGTTCAGGATGGGACCAAATACAAACGATAGATTCTCTGCTGCACAAGGGCGGCTACAAGGGCCTAGTAACGCCCGACATTCGTCGTAGCCTGAAACTGACTCGCTATCAGAGCGAGGAGGTCACCGTGAGCTATCAAGACTATATGACACATTGTCACAATCGAAGATGCTAGCAACTCGCCTGGGGTCCTACCCAAGGGCCCCTGCCTCCGAGATCCAGCGAGATTCGCTATAACAACGTGCACGCAGTCAATTCGTCTCACGTCTCGCCGCATGATAACGCTCGGTACAATCCTTTGGTGTCCAATCAGCAGAACACGCAGATCATCACGCAGCCCAGTCGCTCGACATTCATACACCCGCTACCTTTGCCCCCGATCCCCCCGGTCATGGTGCCGATACGTAACAATCCGCCCGGCTGGTGGAATAACGCGGGTCCGTCCTATCCGCCTGCGCCGCCCCGACCGCATCGCTCCACGACGCAGGAAACCGCGGAACGCGGGCTACGTAAGCGAAAATGACACTGGCGGCGGTTCCTCCTCGCGATCCTCCACTGCTTCAAGTGGTGGTGCGTGTTTCTGTGTCTCAGTGTACACAGCCTCCCGTTTATTATGCCACACGCGCCGTCTTGAGGATAATAACGGTGTCTTTCGCGTACGATGGGCACTAATTGTTAAGTCGTCGTGCCGATAAGGACGATAAGCGCGTCGCACAAGTCGATTAAAAAGTATATAAAGATTTATCTCACGCCTCTCTCGAGAGTTGTGAAACTCGCGCCGCTGGAAATGATATTTGCGTGTTCGTACGAGCTTCTTGAACGTTTCGACACCCGGCAATTAAAATAATTTCCGAAATCCCTCTAGTCGATGAAGACAACGGCAAAGAAACTCCCATTTTGCAACGGATGCATCGGATCGTCCGTTCTCAACGGCAATTAGCGCTGCCACCGTGTCACACAGAATTTATTCGCGATTTCGATAATGTGAGAATGGCAACGAGCATTTTTACGGGTCAGTGATCATGCCTAAAATTCACTGCCTGCTTCATGAGGTTGAATGTACAAACTGATGTATTCCATTATTTGTATAATGCGTATGACGTGTGTAACATTCTCGAACGTATGTCAGGCGAAAATTTAGGCGGAATTTCGGATTTTTGATATGAAACGATATTTCTGTTGATATATTTCTCTCTGATTAGGATATATTTTATTCGGACGCGAGATGGTTAGCAGATGGGATAGTACATCGTGGTAGGAAGATTTTCGCCTTATTAAAACAATTATACACTTAGTCACATCGATAATAAGCTTGACGAGAAGATGACGTAAATTTTCTGTGGTTAATAATTTAGTTAGCATTATTTAAGAAAAAAGAAAGACAAAGCAGAAAAGATAAATGATAGATCTAAGTTAGATGTAAGTAAACAAAAATATGAGGATCTCATCGTGAATTTTTAAGTGTTGTATGATTTATAAAATGTTACGATTCCGTGATAGCTGCACCAGCCGCGATATCTTATACTGTACATCTATTGATGTATATTATGCAACTTGCGCGCATCTTGCACATACATACACAGTTTTACGGTGCGAACTAAATACTTAGCAAAATCGCGACACATTTTTCAAGCGTCAATTCTGCTTATCTCGAACTGCCAGCTATTTTCGATAGCGGGCGCTACACACTGCCAATTTATTCGTTGTTGTATCTTTTATACTAATGAAATTCGTTAAGAAATAAATGAAGAAATTGTTATTGTATCTTATCTCTCTGTTACGTCGTGTTTCCATATAGTTCATGTTATTACTTAAAATACCTAATTAATAATTAGCGAATTCCTTATATATATATTGCACGCTGTTTGATTCTCGTTGTAAACAAATCCGGCAAACTGCCACGCGTACTTCGGTTATAATTACGCGCAGAGCAATAAAACGTTTGGTTTGCGTATAGGCCAATAGTCATTTGGCCTACAGTACTCTGTTTATGTAACGGGTATTTACAATAATATAGAATTTCACTATTAAATTACGATAGAAATGTATATATAATTCTAACGATCGTCGCAATTATATTTTCACAATTTACATAAGCGAATAATAATCACGCATTCGCTGAATTTCATCCTTGAAATAAAAATATATTTGCATCTACTCAAGTTCTTGATAAATGCAATGAAATAGTCGCGCATCGAGCGTGTATATTATACAAGCTCTATAATCACAATACGAATTTGCCGGATTATCATGCATTTTGTAAAATTGCCACGTGAATCTACTTGTAGTAACGCGTTTTGTAACAAAGCGCAGAATTAGGCGCTTTGTACACGTCAAGTTTACCTTAATCTCATCCTTTTCTCGACAAATCAACACAATGTAAAGCGGGATTACGTAGTGAAAGATATGAGTAATTTAAAGTGTACTCGGCGCAAATTAACATTCAGGTATCGTGGCACCTCGATGCAAACTGATATCAACGTGATATTGAAATAATACCGAGCGGCGTACGCTCGTTTTAATCGCATTCGCCGAGTTAACGGCACAGGGGAAGACAACAGGCTGGTCTCCGCGTGAATATTCGAGTACACCAGGGCGAGAAGCTTAGTTAAGAAGCCGCCGATGTTCGAAATTCACAAATTGACGCGCCAGGCTGCTTTCACCGTGATGGAAAGGACGGAATAAAAAGTTTTTGGAATAAAAAGATTCATCGTAAAAATCACTGTAATCACTTTCCCCGCGTTGCCGTTCGCATCCCCGATCTCATATCGGACGTAGAAACGGTCCGGGTCCATTTTGCCGGAAATGATGGCTGTGGTGATCCTTTATCAGCCAGCGAGAATTCTTATCTCACGCACAAGCAAGTGCAACCAAGTACACCCGGTGGGTGCCGAGATCTATTTATCTATACATATTTTCTAATTGCACGCGACTGCTCCGAGATGGCGTAGCGATGTCACGCGCGCGTGAGTGCAACGCGACCGGCGTCGCGACGCACAGACGGACCGCGTCGTACGTGTCAGCGGTTGTGGCGTCGAACGGGCACGCGTTTCGCGTGCCCGTACGGAGTGCGTAACTGCGGGTTACGCGTCGCCACCGGAACGCGCGGTTACGCGTCGTGACAGTTGGTCGCGCGAGTGGTCGGCGACGATCATCTCGGTGGCCGCGGTTGGCCCGTTGGCGTGCGGGCGTCGACATATTGCGCGCAGTGGGATGCATCACGTCTCCCCGACCGTTTCTCCGGCTGGCACGTTTTTTTTCTCCGCGTCGAGTGTTCGTTCCGCGTAACGCGTGCGGCCGAAGATCGCACGCGTCTCGTCGCGTCATCATCCGCGACTGAGTCCTCGTCGTGTTACGTCGCGCTCGACGCGTCGTCAACGAGTTTGCACCGGCTCGGGCAACGTGCACGGCGTAGTAAAATCGCGACCGCCATCCACCACCCTCGTAAAACCCCGGGGGGTGCGTAGGAAAACTCTCCGCGATCCTTCGCGCTTGCCGCGGTAAGTATCGCGCGACGGACGTGGTGCGTCGAGAATTGAGGCATTCGCCGTAGCTTTCACCTGTCGCGCCGAACTTCGTCCCGTGAATTACCGTTAGGCTACTTGTAACGCCGCGTTCGACCGCACAGCGAGACGCAATCAATCTCTCGCGTGTGTATTAATTTGTTAATCGGTGGTAGAAGTGGCTGCTGCTTTTCACAGGAAATGCCGTAGAAAGTTGACGCGCCTGATTCCTTCGGAGTGACTCAGCTGACTGTATCTTATCAAAAGTCTAAAGGATGCCAACTTGGATAAAAATGCCTCCGTAAGATATACGCGTTACACTCCGGTTTTAAGATGAATTTTCAATTCATCCGAGCAACTCGCTTTCACATCGTGTTTTTTTTTTTTAAGCGGAAAGATCCCTTTGTTATCGCGCTTATTGCTCCGGGAAACACATGTTGCCGCGTGTTACGGGCAAGATTCTTTCTTCAGCAGCTCATCACTGCCATTTTTTGCAAACTGCAGGAATACCGTAGACCGACAGATAGATTAAGCCGTTTTTTTTTCTTACCGTACAGGTCGCTTAGTTTCGCGTCAAGAATCATCACACCTTAGACACGTCCCCTTTCAACTGTGCTTCCTTCCGTGCCATTTTCAGTTTCTCTTCTCCTCGGGTGCCTCAACGTATATTTACTTAATCGCGGGTGCAGAAAGTGCAACATAGTGCAGCGAAAAAGAACAGAATCTTCGTCTCTTTGTATTATGAATGAACGAACGAACGTTTGTGCGAGGCGTGGGTCGATCGTAGAAGAGCGTAAGAGGGGGCGGACGAATCTCGCGGCGGCGAAATGGCGGGCGATGAAACAGCTGTTTTGGCGCGCGCGGCGCCATCCGGCGGGGCGCGCGCGCGACACGGCACGCTACGACGAGGACGACGACGGCGGCGGCCGCGACGGGCGGACGAGAGTGAGACGCACACCACGGGTCGTAGACCGTTCGTGTCCGCAGTCGGGTCGCGGGAGTTGACGGCAGTCGAGTGGGAAACATGGCTGCTGGCTGTTGCGGTACAAAGAAGCAAAAGTTGAACAACAACTCAACGGGCGCGCCATGTAATGGTACCACGGTGTTGTCAAACGGCACTCGTATACGTAACACGCCGATCGTGCAGCCCGAGATGGGCTTCTACTGTTTCGACGTCCTCTACTGCCAACTGCACCAACTCGACCCACCAAAACCGCCCAACTTTAGCAACGAAGCATTGTGAGTAGTCACCACTGACGTCGTCTCGACGCGTTGCCACCATCCCTGTCCCACTTCATGCCGCGTCTCTCTGTCACGCTCGCGGCTTTCCCCGTGCGCGCCTTCCCCGATCCGCCACCTTCCTCCCTCCCCCTCTCGCGTCCCCCCGCTGTGAGCGCTTTTTTCCCATTACCATCCTTTTCTCCCGCCACCCACGCCAGCGCGCTTCTTTGTCGGTGGGCTCATTCTTGCCTTTGTATTTTCAACCGACGACGGGGACGTTCGTCGAACACGTCTCCTCCTCGGTCGACGATGACAATGCGCGTCCTGCATTTTCGGAACCTTCACCGGCTTTACCTCGGTCGTGCTACTCGACCTTGTCCGTCCCGAGGTTATGCGGCATGCGAGCGTTGTTATGCCGCGGACTAGTTTATCGAAATGTAAACGTCGTGTTTCACATCGTGCCTTTGTCCCTACGCGCGCTCTATATCTCTTTTATCTTCGATAAACAGAAATCGATATTCGTTTGTTTATCACTCCTCGTCCCTTCATCCTGTTCCTTTTCAGTCGTTACAATAACTATTATCGATCATCACTAAAATGTATCTTAATATTTGTTACACGGTTGTTGCATTGCGTATGGAAATAGCAACGTATGTACTGTCTGCGTATTGGCTTAAGAGGAGATTAATTATCGGCATTCTATATAGCTCTCGCACCAAGTTATATACTTTATTGCAGAGATACAGTTCAATATGATCGGCTCTTTTGTTACAGGATGAATTTGTTAATCCTCGCAAAGTTTGACGTCCATGATTACTCGATCAGTACCCTTTCTCTGTTTTCTTTTCAGCCCCCTGTTTGTAACATGGACAATTGGCAAAGACATGAGATTACGTGGTTGCATTGGTACATTTAATGCCATGCATTTACATGCAGGGCTTAGGGAATATGCTGCTACTAGGTAATGTAGACTTTTCGCTGATTTTGGAGCTAGAACTTTGAAGCGTTTATTTCTAAACGGAATGATTGCATTTTCCAGTGCTTTTAAGGATTCGCGGTTCAATCCTATAACAAGAGAGGAACTGCCACGCTTGCACGTGAGCGTGTCTATACTACGGCATTTTGAGGATGGCGTGGATTACTTAGATTGGGAAATAGGAGTTCACGGTATTCGTATAGAGTTCCACAATGAGAAGGGCAACAAAAGAACTGCTACTTACTTACCTGATGTTGCGACTGAACAAGGTTCGTAGGTGTGCACGCACGTTATGTACCATCGCGTCTTCCAAGTACATAATCAGTCTACCAGATTAACACATTTTTTCACACGCAGGTTGGGACCAGATACAAACGATAGACTCGTTACTACACAAGGGTGGCTATAAGGGTTTAGTTACGCCAGACATTAGGCGCAGTGTGAAGCTGACGCGATACCAGAGCGAGAAGGTTACTGTAAGCTATCAAGACTACATGACACATTGGCACAACCGAAGATGCTAGCAGCTGGCTTGGGGTCCTATTCAGGGGCCCCTACCTTGCCAAACGCCCAGCACGTTTTGTTACAAAAATACTGACACGGTTAATACCACTTACCCACAATACAGTACCACTCAATACAACTCCTTCATAGCCAATCAGCAGCATACTTTAGTTATGGTCCAACCGAATCATCCCGCTTTCATACACACACTACCGATGCCACCGATTTCTTCAGTTATGTTACCCATGCAAAACTATCCGCCATTCTGATGGAATTATGTGTGTCGCATCTTTCATTTCGCTTCATCGTTATTCTTTACAAAGTTTTGTAACTTTGAAAAGTGAATTTATAGGAGAGCGGTAAGAGATCCAATGTTGTATATGATCTATTTTACTGCTTTAATTGATGCCTATTATATTTTGATTGTCCAGCATTTATTCTCTCGATCTGTTCTTTCTCTCTGTCTATCTCTTTCTCCCTTGTCGTGCGCTATATTCCTCTGTGAGGAAAATGCAAGTGAGTATGGTGACAATGTTCTTCCAAAGTGACACTTGCGATAAAAATAAATAATATTAGCGGCTAGAACATTTCTATAATAAGATAGATCCTTGTTCTCGTGTTGTACAATTTTATGATTGTTAAATTGGAGACAAAACTGAAACATAATCTATTTGCGTGCAACGATGGAACCAAGTTCAATTCGCTAACGCTTTACAACTCGACTAGCCACCGATCGACATGAAATGTAAATACTACAATTAGCTTTGCCATCATGCTAAGATGTTCGACGGTAAAATTGGTATCTGCGAAACTAGTGCCGCGAGAAACTTGTGAATTTGCGTATTTACATTTACTTGCACCATCGAAGGCAGATATAAATCAACGGATTTTACGAGAAACATTAAAATTTCTTTAAACATATAGTCGAGGGGTAATTTATTTAAAACAAATTCGACAAACGAACGTGCTGTAACGTACAGAACTTATTTCCTTTCTAAAATGTATAATCGTTAATTATTCATACTTAACACTTCACACAATAACACTGTAACGTCTGAACAGAATTTCTTTGCATTAATGGTATAAATGAAAGTGTTTTCTTTTCATCATTAGGTTACTATTTAAATGTGGTCTAATACCATTTACAGTAACTTATTCATAGGCATGTTGATTTCTCTTCTATATTTTGAATAGTACGTACAGATTGTTGTATAACGAAATATAAATGGCATAAATATGTTGTATAAATTTTTAATGTTGCATATTTATACCATTCCTACAATGAAGTTTGAGGCGTTTAAAGTTACAGTCCAAAGTTTTATTACAGCAAAGAGGATTTTTTACGTGTGCCAACAATGATAACTTGGTGTTAATGAATTTGCGTTTGTCAAATTTAATATTTCGGTACGGAATTCGTTTCTAAAGACACTTGAAGTTAAAAATTATTGCATAAATTATCCCCTTATCCAAACAAATCATTTTGACTGTTTCTGTGCATTAACGAATGAGTATATTCGACGATCTGTAGAATGGGACCTCTACTGTAAATAAGCAATGGACAACATTATATCTAATAAAAAAAATATAAATATATATATATATATATTAGGTATAGGTATAGGTATAATATAGATGTAAGATACACACATTAACAAAAAAATGACGATCTCATTGTGATGTTGATTGCTGTGCAAATCATGGTAATGTCACGACTCATGTACATTATAATGGCATCAGATAAAATTTGTCTCTCTCCCTTTCTCTCTTTCTGAACACTTAAGAGTAGATAAAACACATTACCGAAAACAGCAGAACAATTGTGTGTACTATATAAGTGTATGCGTTGAGTTATTATTAAGGATGGATAAGGCGTATCAGTGAAGAAATAATACGGGAAGAGATTTATCTGGGAAATATATGTCTGTCAATGTACCTTAAACGCGTGGTACGCTTAACAGCATCATCGTTACATAATCATAGAGGGTCAGGCACTTTTTATATTAAATCGCGCGGAAGGTACCATGTCGCGTAGGGCGCGCCGTATTTTTCACGTATCTCTCAATGGTCTTGCTTCTTAGATTCCGTGGCTACTCTGGATAGCTGGATAATTCATTCACTGCCAACATAATCATTGTTGTAGGTGTTATACAAGTCCTACTCCCGAAGAATAAAACAATTCACGTTGTTATATTTTGGTTGAACCGGTGTGCATTAGTATCTGGTGTGTTATCTTTTATACATTCTTATCGCATACACATAGTTCCTTGGGATCTCCTTGCTACTTGGGCCCCCGTGTAACGTCCAGTAAACTGCCAGTAATATACTTAACTCTAGACTAGTTGGCAAATCAAAAATTACACATTCTCTCACCCGTGCCGGATATTTGACCGTAGAAACCAGACCTTACGAGGAATTTTTTTGTTATCCGAGAAAAACGTAGAAAATATGTGACATTATAGGTATATAAAAAAAAGTAAGGGTGCTAAACGTCTTCTTTGTGAATACGAGCTTTGGATAGTAATCTGAGGAGTTTCTAAATTTAACGATACAAAAGTTCAAATAGTTTAACGTAATAGAAGGACGAACGTGATTCGATTCAAGGCATAATTTTCATCTTCGTTGTGGATAGTAGCCTGCGTGGAAAAGCCGCAGGCTACTGTGATCAAATGCGCATTTGATTGGTAAACGAGAATATCGAATTTATTCTGTCTTATTCTCTCTCGAGCCTATATAAACATTCATATTATATTTAACATATATTGGTTGGTATATACATTTGACTGGATATCGCAAGGTCGAAATCTGTGTGTCAAGCGAAAATAAAGAAATTAATTATTACGGGAAAATTCTCTCGAATTGGAAACTATGTATATACTATTGATATTTAAAATGGCGATCTTTTCGAATAGTTCGGAAGCGTTTATTACTGTAACAAATCATACGGTGCCTAGATACTGGATTAATTTCGAGGAAAAGAATAGCGAGTACGTGCGTAACTTAATGTAGGACTCTCGGTAAATGCAAGAACATTGGTGAACGATTATAAACGTCTTATAACACTATGTCAATGATGAAATAAAAATACATTTTATATTCTACAAACCGTTGTGATCTTTTCGTTTTCCTTATGTTACCGAATTTGAATTTAATGGAAGGGAATAATTAATTGAAATTATTAAATATATTGAAGTGCTCAATGTGCGGCTCATTTTTAAAACAGGAATCTGAACATAAATGAGAAATATTTTATTTAATACATTTTATTGTATAACTACAAGCATATACATATATAAAGTTAGATACAAGTTACTGTTGGATATACCCTCTTTTTGGTTTTTTTTCATGTTCCAATAGATATGTTATATCTAATATTCGAAGGTAAGATTTGATTTGTAAATATGTTATAAAACCACCAATCATCGCTTGTAAAATTAAAGTTGATGACAATTTAGGGATTAAGTGTTGATAGACTGACCCGGCAATTGTTAAAATTTTTCTACCCTCATTTGGATATGGTATATTATACGCTCTACTGCCAACAACCTATGAACCAAATATGTAAGTATGTAAACATATATGTGTGCATAAATTTTAATATAAAAATCCAAAGTATAATCTCTTTACATATAATTTATTTTATATAACTGAAACCATGTATATATATATGTATAAACTGAAACTATATATATATATATATATACATAAATAAAAATTATCATATATAATTATATGATGATTATTATATATCTTACATATATACGACAATTATGTAATATCATAATGATATCAATTTATACTTACTATAAAGGTAATAATTGGTACTGTTATAAATGGTGTGAAATATCCAAAGGCAGCTTGTATTATGGCACCTCTGAGTTCTAGGCACAAGGGACAAGGTAGTTCTAGCAGCAGTAGTTTATTATCGATAGCCTGAGAATAGTATTTTATTTCGAATTATAAATATATATATTCCACGTTGAACTGATTCACCGAGTATCCTTGTTAATTGAATTTAATTATTATTGCTAATAAATACCAGTGATCGAGAAAGTGTTGTCAAAAGGAACGATGGTCCTGTAATAGCCATCATCGAGGGTAAAATACCAATATTGTGTACTTTTAACTTTCGTCTGAATATAAAATTAACGTAAGCACCACCTAATGATGCTGCTAAACTCAAGATACCGGTTCCGTGTACCAATGGCCATCTAGATAAGGATTCATAGTTTTACGAATGCATGTTGTTATGCTGACGTTCAAGGTTTTTGCACTAGATTTAAACGTAAATCATAAATACTATTCAATCCATAAGAACAAAATCTGGAAAAAGGTAAAATAGCAGCGGTTCGACAGAAAATATGTAATGGTCACGTACACTTCATTCTGATTTTTCCAAGTATAAACGAACGACGACTGATGCGCTATAGCTTCGTATCTCGACATCATTATGGCACCTTTCGGTATCTCTTGCTTGATAATCCGTTGCCGAGCCTCTTCCATTTTTCGGCGTTTTCCTCGCTCATGTAAAAAGTAACACTAAACCTTCATGTGATTCAATACATTTGTCTGCTATCAATCATACACTTAGCTAGCGAATGGGTTATTATATCAAGATTATAGTTCCAAAGTCTCCGTTACGAGTCGCTACCATCATTAATGAAGAATCAAGTGTAGTATAACTCAACGACAGATTAGGTCTGTTCTACAATACGTCGTGCGTCGAAACGCAGCCGATGGTCCAATGAAATGATTTATTTTTCGAAAGTAAGTTCTCCTCATTGGACCATCGACTGCATTCGACATCCGACTATTGAGTTCGTGCGGATAATTTCGTATACGAAAGCTAGGGTTCACTTGACGCTGCAAGTACCGCTTTGAAGCACCGCACGGACCATTGCAGCGTCAAGTGGACTCTAGCTTTCGTATACGAAACTAATCGCACGAACTCAAGAATTAAACCTCAAGAGCCATTAAGATATTTTTTCATGGTAACGTCAAGCGTCAAGCGTCGGAGCTAGTCAGCGGACAATGGATCTACTGATTGGGTCGACGTTTGATTCTCGTCTACTGATTGGCTCCGATGTTTGACGTTACCATGAAATTGTACCTTTAATCAATCGGACTTCGGTGAAAATCACTCATGTGTAAAGCCAGTGGCACACGATGCTTGTTTTTGTGCTAGATTGCTTGCTGGGTAGAAATACTGCGTTTTGATTGGTGCATTTTCAAAAATGGATGATAATACATCAATCAAAACGCAGTACTTCCATTCAGCAAACAATCCAGCACGAAACAAACATCGTATGCTGCTGGCTTAAATCCCAGTCTACAATAGATATTTTAAGTTTTAAACCTTAGGAAATTGACTAATCACAATCGAATTATAGAAGAATAATCAATTGTGATTAATTCCTTAATCAGTTTCCTAAAACTTAAGGCTTAAAACTCTATTGTACATCAGTAATCAGTTTCCTAAAACTTAAGGCTTAAAACTCTATTGTAGACTTTGCCTTTCAGGACGAGTCTCGTGAGAATAGCCGAGAGGTCCGGACGTGCTTCGAGCGTGTGCTCGCGGACCTTTTGTTCGTCGTACCGCATTTTTTTTTTTCAATAAAGTCATTCCACTGCGGCAGAACGCATTTGTCCGGTATCTCATTTTATCCGTTGTTAAGTAATGTAGGAGGAATGAGTTTCTCGTAATCAAAATTGACAAAGAGAGGGCGAGGGAGAGAGAGAGAGAGCTTTATAGACCGCGGCAACGCTCACCGCATGGTGTAAGTTCGCGAAGTAACCAATCAATGTGCTGCTTTTCCGTAAGAACTAATTGCTCTGTATACAAGATGATAATGCTTGCCGCGTCCTATGTACAGGAGCCATGAGATTATTCTCATTTGTTTTTATCTCGCGATTTTGGAGTATTTTGCAAGTGAACCTTTAAGTATATTATGAAGTTCAGTGAGATTGATGTTACGTTGAGTGATGTTGGGGATGTGCCTTGGATCGTCTGGAACCATTATTGAGAGAGAGAGAGAGATAGAGATAGAGGTTGACACGGTTAGGTTACACGGTTAGGTTATACGGTTAGGTTATACGGCAGAATGTAATTTACAATCGCAACTATAAAATTTGATATAAAAAATATCTTTCCAGTAGCCACATACTACAATTACACAGAAGAAATATGCGTCGGGCACGTATAAAGGCTTTGGCTACTGTGCCAGTTCGAAAAAAGGTTATAGAAAATACAGTACCCTCTATAGAAAACACAGATAATATACCTGATAATGAACATGTGGAGCAAGACACATCTAATATTGTTGTACCAGAACAAAAAAGTAGTATACAAGGTAGTGGCGTAAGCGCGAGCGAATCTGAAGATGAACATGGCAAGAGAGTAGCGTCTGTTGTGCCAAGTCGTATACGAAACGACTCCATCTGCTCTATACAAAGCAACAGGGAAAGTACCATCAATGATATGTATGTATTTATTTATTCCCCTTAGAATTACAAAATCTTATATTTATATTTAAACTAACTACTACTTACTAATTTAATCTATTCATCCTACTTTCTATTTGCTACTCATACATACAGGAGTTCTTTCCTACTCTATTCTATTTTTGACTTTCCTGTTTCTTTACAATTTGCTCCTCTCTCTCTTCCCCTATAATTCTTCATTCCTTTACTATGGACTTCCTTTCCTAATGGAGGATTTCTACTAGTGGAGAATCTCAAAACTTGTATAGAGTCGTTTGGACAAAAATAGAGATAAACTTTAATGTTATCCCTCACTTGTCATTTTGACAGTCTTTGAACATATTTATTATATTTTAGTGCAAGAATCAAAGTAACTCAAAAGAGACGCATGATGGTTTCGGAATCAGCAAGAAAACTGGCTGAGGCTAGAAGGGAATTTCTAATAAAACATGAAAATAAAACACCCGATAGAAGTCAATTGAAAATGTATGATCTGATCTATTATAATCCTGTAACAAATCCTATGAAGAAATCAAAAGCATCCACTATTATACCAGCCCACGAAACTACACAGTAAGTACATTAAATTATGATAGTGAAATGTATAAAAAACTTGTATGTATGTAAAAATATTCTTAGCATAATATAATCTTTTTTAGATCAGAGGAAAACTTAAAGGAGGAAGAGGAAGATGATCCTTCGACGTTGCCTGCGCCACAAGTAAAAGTTGGCCCTGATGGTCAATTGATAATAGATGAACAAAGTCTTGTGATAGAACAAACAAGAGTGAGAAAACATAAGGAGATATTATCACAAGACATCATTGTAGAGGAAGAAGATTATGGCAGTGGGTTTTATAAAAAGCGTCAAAAGAGTAAAGAGTGGCCAAAATGGGAGACATTCAAATTTTATAAAGCATTAAATGTAGTGGGTACAGATTTCCTGTTGATGCAGACTCTATTTCCAAATCGAACAAGAGCGGAAATTAAACAAAAGTATAAGAAAGAAGAAAGAGTTAATCGTCCCTTAGTGGAGAAGACTCTGAAGTATCATCAAGAGTTTGATACTGAAATGCTGGAAGAACAATTAGGTATCACTTCCTACAATTTAATTCAGATTTTAACTGTAATTGATTTTTTTAGTTCTTATTTAAAATTTTATTTTCTGCTTCCAGCAACGTTACAAGAACTAGAAAATGTTCAAGCAGATGTGAATAAGAAGACGTCAGAAAAAGAAAAGAAAGACCAACACTTAACCAGGAATGCTAGAAAGCGCAGACGTCGTAAGTATAATAAAATTTTTATCTTACGCACTATACACACATACATATATACCCAATTTATTTCAGATATCTTTTTATCAAAATTTTACCAAATATGTACTATATAAGATATCCATTTGTAATGTCTATTCACATGTGAATAAATAATATATAATTAATAATTTTAGGATTTGCAGCAACTAGTATCGCGCAATGTGAAGCACCATCCACTAACGATCAAGAAGCTGAAGACAAAGCGACAATAGATAATGAAATTAACGAAAACGGCGGAGCAAATAACAGTCGACAAATGAAGAAGGGAAACAACAAACGAAAGTTAAAAAAGTGCTCAAATGATAACTTTGACGATAGTAGTTGCATAAGTTCTAACAGTAATTCTGACAGTGATATGGAGGTTTATCAAATTAGACCAACTAGATCTGGTAGACAGCCAAAACCGAAGAAGTTACGAGCGCGCAGCATTAACATGCTTGACAGTAGTATCGAAAACGAATCGTTAATGAAGGAAACTACGACATCGTTGCAAGAAACTCCACTGTCGCAGAAAGTTACGGAAGATTCGTCTACGCCATCTGTATCCAAGGATAACGAAGATGCAGTAACACCTTCTCCTGAAAATATCGCAACTGCGATACCAGATATCAGTGAAATAGAACCAGGATCCCTAGTGATTTTAACGAAGGAATCCGTGGAAGAGCCCGGGAAAACTATTTTACAAGTTTACATGGTTAGTTCCAATGCTGATAAAAAGAATGCTGACGACGAAATTCAAGTTAACTTAATAAACAATTAAGGCCAATGTGACACTTGTGCTTCTGCCACCAGAACTGTTATCTATAGTAACTAATAAAATTGAGGATGTCAAACATGCATTGCATTTGAACGTAACTAAATCTTAGCACATATATATATATGCTAGTTATATAGCTATATAATTATATGGCTGAGGTATGAAACGCATGCATAAAAAGTGAACATTAAAGTAATCCAATTGCAGAAAAAACTTTTTTATCTTTTTAATTGTGTGTTATATTTTTTATTAGGAACCGTGTGTGTATGTGAATTTGTACAATTGTAATATATTGTAAAACATATATATATATATATATATA